AGTAAACCACTTACATTTCATTTAATTCCTACTCTGACCTCCCAGTCTCAATAAATGTGCATCAACAGAGCAATCACGCTGATACTACCTCAAAAACAAAAGATTCCACAGAAACCTAGCCCATATGTACAGCAGCCCCAGGCTGGTGTGCTCCTGGTCATGGCGGAGCCACAGAGAATGCTGGGGAAAGGAGAAAAGACAGCCAAAGCCAAGGTCAGCTCGCTGTTAGGACCAAAGCATCTGCGTGCTGTGAGTCGAGGTCCCTCTCCATGCAGCTTCTGGCCGTGCTCCCCGCCACAGCCAAAGTAGCAGGAGGTACATACGGCAGGTGTACACATCTCTGTACTCCATGTGCTCGTAGTCGGGAAGAATTTTCATGAAACGGCCCGACTTCACGCGAGGGTTTATACCTGAACGACACAGCAGGGAAAGGGCTAAAGATGGTTCCACTTCCATGATGTTATAAACAGTTTTCATATGATGCAACACCTGCTCCCTCACCCCATCCTACTCAATCCCCAGTACCTTAGGAGGCAAGCACTTGACAAAAATGAGAGGCCTGGCTATAAAGAAAACGTTGTGATTTGTTCCTTTTAGTCTACAGATTCACACCAGAAACTCATGATGGTGACAGGCTTGGGACACTCTTCATGCTCACGTTCCTCCCTCTCCTGTCCTGGGTCAATGGAGCTCACTGGGTGAGAAAGCAGAGGACGCAGCTTGTGGACAACTGGAGTGACTGTTTAGGGAACCCTTGTGCCCCAACTAAGAACTTCAACTTGTAGAGTGTATGCCCAGCGCTTTCCTTTGCTTCTGTCTGTTTGGCTTTGGACTGCGGATGACATCTGCCAGCTCCTAACTCAGGGACTTTGCTTCAGAGTCAAGGCTGGCTCACTCTTCCACCTATGCCAGGGCTAAGGCTGTCTTTCTTCCACCACCTGTTCCAGAAGGTAAGTAATTTTCTCCTGGATAAGGCCTTCAAAGCAAAGTCACAAAAACATGCTCCTGCACTGTGAAACCTGCTTCTGTGGTGGCAAATTAAACACTTTGGGATACTAAATGAAGGTAATATGAATCATTCTCTGGATTTCCCGACCATTTTCAAAGAGTAAAGAATCAGCAGTCAAGGGGGTGGGAGCAAGATGCAGGGAGTTAATGGGGGAGAACGGAGATATCTATAACACTTTCAACAATAAATTTTTTTTTTTTAAGAATTAGCCCTAGTCAGTTTAGCTCAGTGGATAGAGCATCGATCTGTGGATCAAAGGCTCCCAGGATGGATTCCAGTTAAGGGCAGGTACCTTGGTTGCAAGTTCCTCCCCAGCCCAGGCCTTGGTCAGAGCACGTGCAGGAGGCAACCAATCAATGTGCTTTTCTCACAGTGATATTTCTCTCTGTCTTTCTCTCTCTCGCTCTAAAAATCAATGGGAAAATATCCTCTCGTGAGGATTAAAAAAATAAAAGAATCAGCAGGCAAAAGAAATCTCCCGATGTCCCTCTCTGTCCACCCAGGCCCCGTATGCATGTGTGCTTGTTGACCTCACCATGGCCCGTGTCCGCTCTCTGTTGCCCACTCACGACTTACCCCCGGCCACACCATCACCTGCTCCCCAGCAGTCACTACCCACCTACAGAGAAGACTGCTCCTTGACATGACCACTGTCTGTCCTGCAAGCTGAACCTGAGCCAGAGGAAGGTTGCTTTCTGCAAATCCCACGTAGACTTTTTGATCATAAATGATGTTCATTTAGTTTAGCCGGTGTAGCTCAATGTTTGAGCATCAACCCAGGAACCAGGAGGTCATGGGTCGATTCCTGGTCAGGGCACATCCTGAATACTGGACTCGATCCAAATAGGGGGCAAGCAGGAGGCAGCCAATCAACGATTCTCTCTTATCACTGATGTTTCTAAGTCATTCTCCCTCTCCCTTCCTCTCTGAAATTAATAAAGACATATTTTTTAAAAAATAATGTTCATTCAGATATAAATAAGCACCCTCCCTTGCCTCTTGCTATGTGTTGGTTCCTGGACCAGGTTGTTTCCCTGACCTGGGAGGGCATGGAAGTAATTTCCCGCACCTGTGTAGCAGTCACGTACTATCATGTTTCCCCGAAAATAAGACATCCTCCGAAAATAAGACCTAGTGCATGGAAAGATAAGACATCCTCTGAAAATAAGACCTACGGTAACTTTGGGAGAAAAAATTAACATTAAGACACTGTCTTATTTTCGGGGAAACAGGGTAGTATGTGATATCTCCCCTCCGCCCCATGTATTTTTTTGGTGCCTGTCAAGCAGTGTGCGGCTCCCTTTCTTCCTGCAGCTGTCATGACGGGCCTTGTCTGTGAGTTTCCCCTAATAAACCCCATCAATCACCAGACAGGAGTGGCCAGACTCCTTCTTCCTTCCTTTCCCTGCTCTCACTTACAGAGGTAGGTTTTCCATCTCGGGGCTTTTTCTTGAGTCTTTGTGTGCAAACACTGCCAGCCCGTTCCCACCCTGGTGCCCAGGTGCCCCCTCTAGATAGGACAGCCACCAGCAGGGCCCAGCCAACCCCTCCCCCACCGCTGAGAGGAGCTCCGTGGGGGCCTTATTCACCAGGTGTGCTGTCCTCTGGGTTTCACAGCCCTAATGCCCGGCAGACATGAGCACCTGGCCCCTCCAGGACAATACTTGAGACTCACAACATATATATATATATATATATATATATATATATATATATATATATATATATATATATTATTGATTTTTTTTACAGAGAGGAAGGGAGAGAGAGATAGCCAGAAACATCAATGAGAGAGAAACATCGATCAGCTGCCTCCTGCACACTGCCCACCAGGGATGTGCCCACAACCAAGGTACATGCCCTTGACCGGAATCGAACCTGGGACCTTTCGATCTGCAGGCCGACGCTCTATCCTCTGAGCCAAACCGGTTTCAGCAAGAGACTCAGAACTCTTAAAGAGACAACAGTCTTTATGCTGCTTTAAGACACTATCATCACATGGCCCAGGAAACTCAATAAGCAGTTCCCAAGGACAAGCACTTGTCCTGTTAGAAACTCATAAAAGCCAGTGGGCATCCACACGAGCCAGGACAGCTTTCTTGTGTGTATGTACAGACTGGTGCAGGGAGTACTTGGTTTTGACTCTAACACCAATGCCAACAGCAGGAGTGAATTCCTCCACCTCTACGGTCTGGCTAGAGGTAAGACTCTGAGCTCTGGATAAAACACCGAGAAATCGAGGGTGGAGCCAAGACCATGTGGGCTCCCATAGAATAAAGGGTAAGAGGAGAGCAGGGGAGCAACCAGCTTCCTGCCTCTGAACCTCTGGGCTTTGGAGGAATCACAGCCATTGCTCTTGCTGATGAGATGAGAGGACAAGAAGGGTTATAATTCCATGAAGAGATGCACATCTTCTGGGGTTGGTGGGATGTGAAGCAGAGGCAAGAGGAGAAACCAAAGTCTGAAAGTGCACAGGGATAGAGGAGCTGAGAGAAAGGTCTTGAGCAGATCAGGTTGCAGTGGGGCCTGGGGCCAGGACAGCAACTCAGGAGGCAATAGTCGGCATGAAAACGGTGGCCGGGGAGCCAGAGTGAAGCCCGAGGTCCACAGGAGGGAGGAGGAGGGGATGCGAGGAGTTGGAAGAACTGGAGCTGATGTGTGGCAAGACAGAGAGGTCCCAGCAACAGGCTTTCCAAGTTTCTAAGTCTCTCTGAGGCAGGTGAGAGGGGACAAGAACTTGGAGGTCACAGCTGAATGACCAAGAATTGTGCTTGGAAGAGGAAGCCTCGTGAAGAACTTAGAGCTTTTTGGTAGGAAATCACCTGAACTGTGAGCAAATTCTAACACAGAAAGACTAACCAATCCAACACTCCCAAATAGCCATTAGATCAGAGTGTGGAGAGTCTGATGGGATGAGGAAGTGATGAGATGTTAAAATCAGCCCAGATATAGAGACTGAACACTGCCTGGGTCTTCCCACAGTCAGCCACTCTGCACAATGCCAGCTCTACCTGTGCTGGGAGTGCAGCCACGTGACAGAGGGGTATCTCGGAAGGGGACTCTAAGAGGAACAAATCCAAAGGAAAGATGGGATTCAGAGAGTGGCCCCATCTAGCCCCCAGACCTTGCAAGAAAGCTTGCAGCACCCAGATGTTTCCTTGGAGAAGCGTGGCCCTCAGTTCCTTGGTAAGGTACTTGGTAAGCAGACATCAGCTGGTCTGTTTTCCATGGTGAACTGAGTAGAAAGTTCAGGAGAATGTGAAAACCAAAATTTTCTAAGATGGTTTTAAGATGAACATTTAAGGCCCTTTTCAGAATGGTCAACAGGTCAACTTTAGGCCAAAGAGAACTGGGTGACCATTATCTTTCTTACTCTGTCCTTTAAGCACCAGCTCTGGGTGTTAAAACAATCCATGCCACACCCCAACGGGGTGGTGAGTGAGCATGCTGCTTCCTGTGTCTCCGCTGCTCCTGGGCCAGCTCGGCGTTAACAGGAGCCTCACAGCCTCCTGTAACGGGGCCTCGGGAAAAGGCCCGCTGGGAAGATACTTGGGGCTGGGGAAGCTTGGAGCACGCAGGGAGTGTTGCTGACGACACTGGAAAGTAAAGGAAACTGAAGGGAAGACTGAACTGAAGGGTTAGAGCCCAGTGCCAGGCTGGAGGGAAGAACTGGCCCACAGGCAGCCCTGTTAGCTGGGAGTGTCAGAGGGAGGCTCAGGCTCTATTTCCCAGTTACTATCAGCCATCGCACATCTAATCAGGCCATGGACCCAGAATCCAGAAAAAGGGACCCTCTGGAAGCACCCGAATTTGTTCCCAGTGTAGATATGTTTCTCAGATCTATAGGTCCTTGATACCTAATATGACATTAAAATTAAGGTCTAAGAATGGAACTAGGTTTTCAGTTAAAATAATTTACTATTCATCATTGATGCTCAAGGCGTCTGCTCTTGGAACAAAATTAATGATGGGTGATATTAGATTCACTTACGCTTCGCATAGACATCTCGACAAGACACACCCGTGATCTCCAGCTTCCGCAAGTTTTCACAAACACCATACTCTGTAACAAGAAACATTTATTAGACGTTACAGTCAAGAAATCACAAAGTAATAGAAATAGACTGTCAGGAGGGAGAGGAGAAAAGGGAGGGAGAGAGGAAGAGAAGCAGAGTGCACGCCTAAGCCTTAGTCATGCCTCACTGCTCTGATCACACGATTCCAAAACCACACCATCCCCAGCTTATGAATATGGTGTGGCAGAAAGTCAGTGTTCTGAAAACAATGCATATTCCCAGGAAAATGAATTGTCGTTGGTGTCAGGGTTCCATGAAGGCCCTTTTAACCCCGATTGGCCCACCACACTACTGATTCTATTGAACAAAAGCATGGGTCCTACAATTGAAGACCTAGGCAAGACACGGGAAAAAGGAGCTGGACACTTTCTGCCCTTTTGCATTGGGCTACCTTAGAGCAACAGCCAGTCAGGGGATCCTTACACTCTATCCACCTCCCTGTCCTCACCTCTCACCTGGCCCATAGTGCATCCTCCCTGTCCCTACTCCTCTCATCCCACTACGGCTCCACTATTCAAAATCACACCCTCCCCGCAGCACTTCCCAACCAAAACCTTGGATCCTTCTGTTCAGATCTCAGTGAGGTTTCAAAAGGAAAGTCTGTAATTGAACTAATGGACACAAATACAGAACTGCCTGTTGGCCAGGAGCTAATAGTGACAACAATAGTCTCATACCAACCTTTGTGCAGGCTGGGCACCATGCCAAGCTCCTGCCAGACACCACTACACTCTACCCTGCCAGCAGCCCCGGAGAGAGAGGTGCTATTGTCATCTCCATTTTAATGATGAAAAGACAGAGGTAGAGAGACGATTGATTTGCATAAAGGAATCTGGGCTTATGAGCCGGATGAGAAAGCCTCATAGTTGTGAGCACAGCCAGAGCACAGGTGTGTGCTCTGTAAGCATCTGATGAGGAGAATAAGGGGCCCCTAGGGCCTCACAGCAATAACCACTAGGACTCTCACTCACTGTGCTCATATCAGGTGTAGGCATCCAACTGTGGCTTCCTAGGACAGCCTAATAAAATGCTGACAATCACCTCTATGCCCAGTACTACGTCCCTATTGCAGGGAGGGAAACTGAGGCTTGGTGAGGTTGGTGACTCAGCAGTCATCGGAAATATGGATTGATACAGTCTGGACAATAGCCGCAGAGCACTGTCTCATCTCATGCTTGAACCCACCTGAGGTCTGGTCTTTTCAATGGAATGGATGATATTAACCCAAATGCTTCTGTAACAGTTGGGATTTTTACAGTACACAAGTAGAGCCTAAAATGCACTTAGGCTGGAGAAGCTATCTGGAGTGAGGCAGATACTACTCTGCAAACCCCTTTTATCAGGCTGCTTTTCCCTACCGTCACTATCAAACAGACATGAAGTTCAAGGCCTAAAACCATGGCCTTGCTCATTATCAGGCAAAATACACCTGTTTATCCTCTTGCCAAGAGCAATGTGGACTCCATTCTAGAACAGAGATCGCCAACCTTTCAGACCCCACGGACCACCAGAGGCCCACGGACCACCAGTTGGCCACTGCTGTTCTAGAAGATTATACAGATTATAAGGACTTCTGAGAAAACACAAATCATGAAATATGCTGAGAATCTGGGGTAAAATAATGTGGGCATGTGACATGAGTTTTCAGCAATCTGAGAGACCAGTTTGTGGAAATCCTTGCAGACCACTCCTGGCTGGTGAAACAAACGAGAACAACTGGTCTACCCCGAGAAGAGCTCTGCTCTAATTATATTATCTTAACATTTTCCTGTGGCTCTGTGATGCCACGTGGCTCCCGCTGAACATGACCAGTCATTGTCACTACTTCGTCCAGTTCTCCATAAACACACTTTATCCTCTTATAAAAATGATGCACTTCAAAACTGTTACTGCAGCCCAGCCCGTGTGGCTAAGCAGTTGAGTACTGACCTATGAACCAGGTCATGGTTCAATTCCTGGTCAGGGTTCAGTCCCCGGTGTGAGGTGTGCAGGAGGCAATCAATGATTCTCTTTGATGACTAATGTTTCTACCTCTCTCTCCCTCTCCCTTCCTCTCTGAAATCAATAAATATATATTTTTTTAAATTGTTACTTCTTTGGTTTGCTTTCTGTGTGACTTTCAAAGGCCAGCTCCTTTTCTCAGTTCCAGCATGCTACACCACATGAAGCAGCCAAGCACCAGCCTCTTTCTGCCTCACCAACAAAGTGGTTTGATTGTGGGGCAGTGGGTGTGAAAAAGGTGTCCTCCTTTGAATTGCTTACTTTGTAATATGTTTTAGTACTGAAGGCCAACGGTTATATACAGGGTGAGCCCTGAAATGCATCCATCTGTGCTCTTTTTTTTTTTTTTTTAATATATTTTATTGATTTTTTACAGAGAGGAAGGGAGAGAGATAGAGAGCTAGAAACGTCGATGAGAGAGAAACATCGACCAGCTGCCTCTTGCACACCCCCTACTGGGGATATGCCCGCAACCAAGGTACATGCCCTTGACCGGAATCAAACCTGGGACCTTTCAGTCCGCAGACCGACGCTCTACCACTGAGCCAAACCGGTTTGGGCGCCATCTGTGCTCTTATTGCTGATGGCCTTTTGTGAGGCATGAGACTGTCCCTTGGGCATTCCTCTGCGCTCAGACTGTGGAAGGCTAGTGACTTGGTTCATAATGTCTAGGAATCTCTCCAGTTACTCCAACCGGAGAGAAACTACCATTGCCTCTCATTAATCACTTTGACTTCTGAGTGATTCTAAGGTTTTTATCAAGGATGATCATATCATCATAAATCTCTGTGTACTTTGTCAACAAATGGTATTGCTAATAGCACAACCAGATACAGCACCCACAAAAATGCCATTAACAATCAGAAGCAAAGCAAAGTTATGATGTATTGCTAACGAATACAGCAATTCTTAGGGGGACTTTTCTTAATATTCTCAAAAGATGACAACAAATTCACCAAAGTGGAATCATGAACCAAATGTTCCTGTAAATGTTTGGTATTTTCCACAGGATGGAATTATAAAAATAATAATAATAATAATAATAATAATAATAATAATTAAAAAAAAAAGAGTGGCCAAGAACAATTCCACATCCTCTGATTGTTCTATAAGCCTTCCCATAAGTTAAGGGGGAAATGCCCTGAAAATAGCTTTAAGGCCAGTGTACATGCCTGTACTACATATCCTTCCTTCCAGAAAACCTAACAAGTGTTAACTCTCTCCTTTGGCAGAGATCCCATCTGAAATGATTAAAAGCACTCCAAACCATGTTGCCTACTGCTGCTCTTAACAACTGGCTAACAGGTCACAGTATGCTCATGTTTCTGTGCCCGAATGTTGCTGACTGGTCACGAGTTAACTCGTGTCTTTTTCTCAACTCATCAGTCAGTATTTTCAGAGACGTGACAAGCAATACATCTAATTCTTTCCATCCATTTTTTATTCTGGCTAAAGTTTTAAAGAATACATGTCGTGCCGGGACTGGTTTGGCTCAATGGATAGAGTCTCGGCTTGGAGACTGAAGGGTCCCAGGTTTGATTCCAGTCAAGGGCATGTACCTTGGTTGCGGGCACATCCCCAGTAGGGGGTGTGCAAGAGGCAGCTGATCGATGACTCTCTCTCATCAATGTTTCTAACTCTCTCTCTCTCCCTTCCTCTGTGTATAAAATCAATAAAATATAAAATAAATAATAAAAAAAGAATACATGTCGTGGCAGAGAAGAACAGTTGAGCAAACACTTTGTCTGGCCGAGTGACTTTGATAGTCAGCTGGAAGATAGCATTTTGTTGGAAGATAGTAATGAGCCTGACATTAGACCATCAAGAAGGCAAAAGAGAAATGTGAGAGTAGCTCTGATAGTGAAAGTGATTCTGAAGAATGGGCAGAAAAAGACATTTTACCAGCCTTGAATATTTCAGATACAACTGTTCAATTTGAAGATTCCTAAAGCATAAGTGAAGCAACCAATTTACTTTTTTATAAGGATTTTTTTCTACCTCGTTATGTCTCAAACCAATTTATACCATCACCAAATAGAAAAATAGTGCAAAACCTCTGCTCAAACTTCAACATGGATGGATGTTACTTATATAGATACTAGAGGAATGGTGCATGAAATTCGTGCATGGAGATGGGGGCGCTGGACCCTCTCCAACCTGGACCCTCTCCAATCCGGGACCCCTCAGGGGATGTCCGACTGTGGGTTTTGGCAAGATCCCAGGGATTGGGCCAAAACCAGCAGACGGACATCCCTTCACAATCTGGGACCGCTGGCTCCTAAATGCTCACCTGCCTGCCTGCCTGTCTGCCCCTAACTGACCCCCTAAGGCATGATCTGCCTACCAGCCTGATTGCCCCTAACTGCCCCTCTTGAAGGCCTAGTCACCCCCAACTGCTCCCCTCTGATGGCCTGGTTACCCGTAACTGTCCCCCCTCCCCCCGCTGGCCTGGTTGCCCCTTAGTGCCTCCCATGCCGTCCTGGTCACCCCAACTGCCTCCCTCTGCTGGTCTAGTCACTCCAACCTGCCCCCTCTCCCGGCCTGATTGCCCCCAATTTCCCCCCATGCCAGCCTAATCATGCCAAACTGTCCCCTCTGCCGGCCTGGTAACCCCCAACTGCCCTCCCACTGGCCTGATTTCCCCCAACTGTCCCCCTACTGGCCTGGTTGCACTTTACTAACCCTGTCTGACAGCCTGGTCACTGCCCCCGTGCTAGCCTGGTCGTCCCCAACTGCTCCCCCCGCTGGCATTGTTGCCCCTAACTGTTCCCCCTGCTGGCCTGGTCACCCTTCACTGCCCCCTTCTGCCGGCTTGGTCACCCTCACTGTCCCTCCTCACCCCCCAGTCTGATTACCCCACTCAGCCTGCTGTCAGTCATTTGGTTGACCCTCGCTAACCCCCCTGCCAACCTGGTCGCCCCACACAGCCTGCTGTTTGGGTGTTACTGTGAGGGCATGATGACCAATTTGCATATTACCTTTTTAT